CAACCCACAAATCTCCTTTCCTTTTCCCAGCTCCCCTCCCCATGTGGGAAGGAGGCATCGAGTGACAGAGCAACTGCATAAACCATGACAGGGGGACAAAAGGAGGGCACACAGGGACACCAGTTCTTGAGCTGCAGGTGTCCAAGCAGCGAGAAATAAGTTTGATGGAGGCTGTTTCCTCCCTCCTGCGTTACCATCTCAGATGTGCTCACAGCAAAGCAAGGAGCAACCACTCACTGCCATGGAAACCTGAAGCAAACTGTTTACTCTCATAGAAGCAGGACACATGGGGGTCCAGCAGGTTGAATTCCCACCAAGGCATTATTGCTATGTGTTCTTGAAGGTGGGATTGGGTTATGGATTGGTTTAACACAAGAAAATGGGGCCCAGAAGATAGATCTTTAGTAGTGGACTGAGTAGAGGACATCCTGCCTGATAGAGACCCTCCTCCCTTCCTAGCAGGCATCCCAAATCCCACATCCATCTTGGAGCCAAAGTGTTCTGCAAAGCATCTCAGACCCACAGGACTGGAGTATTTGCCTTTATGAACCCATCACTGGGTTCCTGGCTCTGAATATTGATGCTCCATGGGAATGTCAAAATTAGTGGCATGCTCATAATCAGGTCTCTCTTCTGTGCACTGTGCTCATTGCTGCCTGTGCTCTGTTTTGCATAGCACAGGGGTTTCAGCTCTTTGCAGATGCAGTTTTTGACTCCTCACGCTTCCTGGTGGTTAGGCACTGCTGCAATTCCCGCTGCCTGGCGACACGCAAAAAGGTGCATTAACAAGATACTCTACAAGCAGCAAAACTAATGGAGATGACTTTCCTAAGCACACACTCTCTCTTTGTCCCTGTCCTGCTCAGAGCCTTGAAGCATCCCTGCTCCAGCTTGGCTGGTGTCGATCCCCACGCCATGAGCAGGCAGGGGCCACGCTCACCTCAGGGCTGGCAGGAGCCGGGAAGCTGAGCCAGTCGAGGAGCTCGCACTTATCCTTCAGCCAGTCGGAGGCCCAGACACTGACCCGCCGGTCCGAGCTGGCGGCCAGCCAGAGCTCACCTCCTTCCACCCCAAAGTCATGGTTCTACGGAAGATTCACAGAACATTAGGAGTTGGAAGGGACCTCGAAAGCTCATCCAGTCCAAGCCCCCTGCCAGAGCAGGATCACCTAGACCAGGTCACACAGGAAGGCGTCCAGGCGGGTTTTGAATGTCTGCAGAGAAGGAGACTCCACAACCTCTCTGGGCAGCCTGGGCCATGCTCTGTAACCCTTACAGTAAAGAAGTTTTTCCTCATATTCAGACTGAACCTCCTATGCTCCAGCTTGCACCCATTGCCCCTTGTCCTATCATTTGACATCAGAGAGAAGAGCCTGGCTCCTTCCTCCTGACACTCACCCTTTACAAATTTATAAACATGAATGAGGTCTCCCCTCAGTCTCCTCTTCTCCAAGCTAAAGAGACCCAGCTCCCTCAGCTGCTCCTCACAAGGGAGATGCTCCACTCCCTCAATCATCTTTGTGGCCCTGCACTGGACTATTTCAAGCAATTCCCTGTCCTTCTTGAACTGAGGGGCCCAGAACTGAACACAATATTGCAGATGTGGTCTCACCAGGGCAGAGTAGAGGGGAAGGAGAACCTCTCTGACCTACAACCACACCCCTTCTCATACACCCCAGGATGCCATTGGCCTTTTGGCCACAAGGGCACAGTGCTGGCTCATGGTCATCCTGCTGACCACCAACACCCCCAGGTCCTAAGATAAAAGCAACACTGTGACTCTGGTGGTACAGAAGCTCTAGAAAAAGCTGCCCCTAGAGCTAGCACAGGGCAGGAGTTTGTGGGAACACAGGCCTTATGCCATAGGGGATCAACACCAGGATTATCCTCCATTTAGGCAGTGCTTAAAGTCACTTAGAATAAAATAGCATAAAGAAGCCATAGTATTGGAACCAGCAGCACACTTCAGGCTGAAAGACTCAAAAGAGGTTGCTGGAGAAGGGGTGAGTGCCTGGCCTGAATGACACAGATCTCTTCCCCAAGATGCCTTCCAGATCTGCACAATTTCCTAGGGGAGTGCTTGCAGATACCGTGTGTCCCCTAACAATGTCCTTCACCTAAAATCGAGGAGGATCTCCTAAGTCTAGAATTACCAGGGAACACAGCCTTGCAGCATGGGTGATTTTAAAGCCTTAGAAAATAGGCAAAATTATTCTCATTTTTAGTTCATGAAGGAAGTAGACTCTCTATGAAGAGAGGGACAAAGGACATGCTAAAACCATCACACCACTGCACAACCAAGTCTTCCTAGCTCCACCAAGGAATCGTACAAAGAGCCAGTGATACACAGGAGGCCAAGCTGCCAAGGAATGACACAGGTCAAGCATGCTGAGCCCTTTCTTGGGGGCACAGGGGCTTAGAGTTCACAGCCCAGGCTGCTCTCAAGAGGTGCTGCTCTCTGAGACTGCAGTGCATCTACAACAGCTACCAAAGGTCCCCCTGCCCACAGGCATGGCCTTGCTTAGGACTGCACCTGCAATGCTTGCAGCTCTACCCCACTGAAGACATCCCTGAGCAGAAGTTACTGGAGGAGATGGGGGCTCAGAGAGGAAAAGCAAAGGACAATGAAGCAAACTCACTGACTGACCCGGCCCTGCTGCCCTTCCCACAGCTGTGCAGTGACACTTGGAGGACTTGCTCCCACACAGCGCCAGGGCAGAGGGAGAGGTCTCACCTGCTTCCTGATGCACTGGAGGACCGTGATGGGGGAGCCTTTGTGGTCAGCGAGGACGCGGATAGTCATTCCGGTGCGAGGGCTGCTGATAGCCACAAGCCCATCCTTGCCCCCCGACAAAATCATTTCTCCTGTGGGCAGAGGAGATAAAAGAATGGGACACTTCTTGTAGAAGAAAAAGCCCATAGCAGAAAGGTTCACAACTGTGGGTTACCAGTGTCCCAAAACACCGTGAAACGCTGAGAACATGAGTCAAGGGCTGGGTAAGATGAAATGTCTTGCAGACACCCACTAAAACACTACACTGAAGAAGCAGCATCACTGTAAATTGTGAGTAGGACACACAGGAATGTTTGTTGTACCCAGACCCCTTAGCTATACCATTTGCCAATATATCTCCTGTGTCCATTTACCACATGCTCAGCTGGCAGCCACCAAAACTCGTCGATAGAAGTTCTCTGGCTCTCCCTGACCCCAGGTTTTTGGGCAGGTCACCAGTACGCAGAGTGGCTGGAGGTCAGGGTAACCCAGGCACAACCAAGCCATGCTCCCCGAGGCAACATCTCACCACCGTTAACAGCCTCACCGTCTGTGGAGTAGGCAATTGCCATCAGTGCAACAGCATGGGGGTGCATTTTCAGCTCCATCTCTGTCCTGGAAACACTGAACACGCGGATGGTGCCATCGCTGTACCCTGCCACTACATGCTGGCTATCAGCTTCCCATGCAACAATGGGATGAGGCTTCCAGGCCAGGCACTGGCAGCTCTGCAAAACAACCAGAGACGCAATGACACAGTGAAGACAGCAGGATTGTGCAATCAAATGCACTAAAAAGCTTCACCTGCAAGTATTTCTCCAGCTTTAATCTGCTCTGCAAGGACATGACAGTCCTAAGCAATGGACTGTGCCCACTGCCAGAGGAAGAGACTGACATACCACTAACAATTACCTGGTTGAGCACCTGGAACTGTACCACCAGCTCCATGCTGCTCAGAGACCAAATCCTCACGCTGCCGTCTTCCCCGCACGTTGCGCAGTGGGTCTCATCAGGACTGAAGCAGACTTCGGTCACCTGCAGTGAGAAACAACATGGGGAACAGGGGCTCTACAGGTGCCACAGCCCAGGGCATTTTAGCTCCTCTGCCCCTCTTATCCCCTAGGACCCTGTTTCATGGGAGACATGAGAGAAGAAGTCCCAGATGTAGAGGAAGGTGGGGTGCTTTGGTTTTATGCTTAAATCTTGGACTGACAATGAGACTTGTAATGGAAACCAGTAAACCAAAGCTAGAACCAGGCACTTACACAACACAGGTGTAAGTAAAATACCTTCTCTTCTACCATTTGAAATCTTTTTTAACGTAGTATAAAGATACCCCAAAGCAACAGCAAAATTCAGAACAGTCATTCGTCACCTGGGTGGGATTTTTTAAAATGTTTTAAGCAAAGGAAACATTATCCAATATGGATGTCCAGCTGGCAAACAGAAGGCAGGCAGAAGTTGCAGCACCCAGGAATGAAGCCTTTGTGGCTGCAAAATACATCCTTCCGCTCCAGCAGAAAGGAGCTGCTCCCGGGCTGAGGCTGTTAAACAACAGAGGCTGGAGCAGATGAGCTCAGACTTCTTTAGTTTGCACTCCTCAGTGTGCACAATTCCCTATAGACTCACCCATGTCATCCTGTAAGCACTACTGAGTCCTGCAGCTGTCTGACTTCTCCCATGGCCAGACCAGGGAATGCTTGTGCAGCCCACACACGCTTTGAGGGTACAGACAGCACACACAGCACTCGCTGCTCTGTGGGACAAAGCACCCAGCCCTTCTTACCTTATTTTTGTGGCCACTGATTAGTCGGATGCTTGTGCTTTCTGTCCAGTTGATGTACCACAGTGTTCCTGCCGTGGTTCCCACAATTCCCATTTCGAGAGAGTCATCAAAGGCTGCACTGACTATCGTCCCATCAAGGGTGATCTCATGCTCTAGCAGGACTGAGCTAGGCCTGGAGGAAAGGAAGACACAAAAAAGACTGTCTCAACTGTCAGAACAGCCACTCTGCCTCCTTTAAATGCAATTTTCTAGTGAGCTCAGTCATGTGTTTGCAGCAAAATGGTTCAATTCCTGTACACTGAACAGCGACTATGATGCAATGGCACAAGAGAATAAACAAAGGCAATGTATTTTCACTAATTCTTTTAAAGGAGCTCCTACAAATCACCAACACAAGCTTCAGGCATGATAAACTCCACCCATTCCCAGTATTAAGAGGGTTCAGCTACCTGTAACAAAAATTCAGTAAAAAGATTCAGATAAAAAGAATCAGCAGTCAAGGGATTGAGAGAAAAAGCTAAGGATGAAGAGCAACAGGAGCAGCGAGGTTGCAGGCAGAGCCAATGTCTGTCCGTGAAAAGCCACCTCTCAGACAGGTCCTGGGAGCTGCCAGACAAGGGGAAGAGCATCTCCAGAGCACAGTGTTCTTGAGACGGGTGCAAGCACAGCAGAGGCACTAGGGCCACAACCTCCTACCTGGCATCAGGACCTTTCAGCCTCAGCTCCTGCACGGCGGCCACTGCCCACAGGCGGATGCGTTTCATGTTGCTGCCACTCATCAGCCTGTTGTGCCGACACACCAGCACACCTGGGAATGAAGGGCACCCATCAATATCCACTGCCCTTGGCCATCACCCTCTCTCCTGAGAGCCAGGCCACCGATTCACTTGGGCAGGGCAGTGGGGGTCTTTTACAGCCCAATACCCAGTATTTTTACAGACTAGAGGTAGACCCCCAGCTCTGATGAGGAAACCCAGGTCACAGATCCATTGCCACCCCATGCATCTTGCATTCAACACAGCAAACTGGTTTGCCAAGCACAGCTGAAACTGGAGGTCTGCAAGCTCATTGCTCTCCTTTCCTAACAAGTTCCCTGTTACAGCCTTTACAGACGCCTGGGGCATCTGCACCCACCGATCTCGCCCTCGTCAGCCTCCCATGTCATGAAGCAGCAATTAGTCTCCACGTCCCACACGCAGATCTGACCCGAGTTGGTCCCACTATAAAGAAGATTTTCGGCACCGTAACAGAGAGAGGTCAGCTCCACCGGCCCTAAAACATCTGGGGCAGGGACCTGATAACCCTGCCAAAGCACAGAAAACAGAAACGTCAAAGAATATGGTGTTTACCTACACTGGAAAAAAACCTAAACCCTTCTCCTATTCATGCAGTTAATGACTCAGATACAACGAAAAGCCACTCATGGCCAGCCAGCTTCATCTCACTAGGAGAAATCACCAGCTATCACAGACCTGTGGGGGCAGAGCCTCCATTGCACTCACCAGGGGCTTGGAAAAGGAGTCATAAATGCTGAACAGAAATTACAAAAGAAGGTAAAACTGAGATTTACCTTGAGGTTGACATCAGCTCCCTGCTGCTCCAACAGCCAAAACATCATGGCTCCCTTCCCCACGCACGCCAGTTCTCTGTGAGAAAAAGGACTAAAAGCCACATCATGGACTGGCTCCAAGATACAAGTCGACGACATGAGTTCGTAAGTGTACGTACTCCACAAAGCAATGGTTTGATCGCTGTAGTCTCCTAGGTAGAACATGAAAGACAGTAGGAGGAAATTCTGCAGCCTCAGGATGCTCCAAGCACATGCACTGCACACATGCATCAACTGTATTGCTCTCTTGTTCAGCTGTTTGGCAATACCTGCTGTGAACACTGTCCCAGGCATGGACACAGCTCCTTGCGTGCTCAGCAAATGCTGCGCAACATGATGGGTCCTCATCAGAGTTGAGGACAGATATAACTGGCCCAACATTTTATGTTAGAGGTTGTAGCAAATCTGGCCCTGTGGTGGGGTCTGCAGCCCGCGTTTGGACCAGCCGATGGCTGACATCGTAGGGATTTCAGCAGACAGAGCAGGTTTTCTGCTGTTTCTGTATCATCAGGAGCTACTGCACACCTCAACGCATGCCCCACACAGGCCCTCAAGCAATACTGTGCACTCAGGGCTAACAACAGTCTTGAAATAAGGAAAGGATGTCACCATTGCTGAGGCTAAAGCTGAGATGGGAGCTGATCTTAATGGAAGCTACCATATCTGGGTGGCAGCAGAAGGCACTGGCCTTGGTGATGGCAAACATCTCCAGCTCCCATACAGCTCCAGAGGACAGTGCTCTCCTGCTGCCTTTTCCAGGCTCCATAATCTCAGTGGAGACTTTCAGCTTTTCTCTCTCTGCAGCTCAAACCAGAGCTGGAAGAGGACTGTTCCTCTCCCACGCTGCTCTGTGGAGAGCACAAAGCTCTCTTTCTCTCCAGCAAAGCTTGCTTTTTTCCAAGGGCAGACTCACCAGCTCAGGGAGAGTGTGTTGCCTGCTCCACAGGTCCTCTCTCATGCAAAACAAGAACTTACTAATTACATATTTGACCTTTAAATGTCCCCTGCCTAAACAAAACAGACAGCTTGAGCATCCATCTTGTGCTGGCGTCGCTGCCTGGCAGGAGGCTCACAGTGTGAAGCCTGGCTACTTCTACGCAATTCCACCTAAGCAGCAATAAGAAGTCCAGAAGAAGGCTTTTCCCTTTGGATACTATATATAGTAACAGCAAATTTACACAGGCTTAACAAGCACCAGCGAGCGAGGAGAAAAAAGCTGTAACTTCAAGAAAAACGAGCTAGCTGGGGCAGTAGGAACTGAAGGGGAGCTCTGGGGAGGCCAGTGTTTGTGCCTGTGGCCGAGACACACAGGGCGTGTGCTTCCCCTCAAAACGCTGCCGACAGCACCCTGGAAGCACACTCAGCTGCAGAGAGAACCTCTGCAGGCAGTCGCTGACAGGAGGACCCAAGATCACTTTCAGTTTTACATGCTGCATTATCCATCGTCCCCAGGCTACTAAGGAACAGCTTCATACCCATGAACTTGGTACACCTCTTGCAGGTGTTGCACACTTACAGCACCTTCATCCCATGAGCTGTCTACTCTGGGGTGTATTCCTGCACCCACACCTTGTGTTACAGGTGTACTCACCTACGGTAACAAGGAACCTGTCATCCCGAGAGAACGCCATGGCTTGTATTTGTGTCTTGTGATGGAAGAGACTTGCTGTGCAAAGCCCACCCTGGACGGTCCAGATGCAGATTTGACAATGGGAGTCTCCATTCCTCTTTCCCGAGGCAGAAGCAAGAACCTAACAGAGTGATATGTTGTCACTGAGACCTTAGTAAATAATTGGAGAACACTTAGTCTTAGCAACTGTTAGTCTCAAATTAAAGTGATGTGGTTGGCAAATTTCTGTGAGAATAACCATCAGCTGATGGCAGGAGGGAACAGTAGCATCACTCAGAGGAAGGCAGCAACCTTTATTGTCACATTGCGCTGGCACAATGGACAGCTAGGCTCCAAAAACATTTATTTTAATTCCTTAACCCCAGGTCTCCCCATGCAGCAGGCAGAAGGAAAGGATAAATGGGATTTTAGTTCTACACATTCCTTTAGCCCAAAGTGACACAGACAAAACCCAGACTGGGGCAGCAGAAGCCTCTCGGTACCTGGGCATTGTGGCTGACAGCGAGCGTAGAGATCTCCTCTGTGTGGCCAAGCCAGTGATTTTGTGATCCCAAGTGCAGGTCTTCAACCACGATGACGCAGCCACAGGTGTAGGCGAAGAAGCCTAGCAGAAGAGGAGGAAAAGGGATGCTTTCACGTAAAGGCTTCACATACAGCTCCCACTCAACCTACATTGCAATTCAGGAAAATTATTTTTTTCAGCAATGTGTAAAAGCTGACTTTTGTAAACAGCCTGTCAGCATCCTTCCCATCAGGTTGAGAGTGGAGTAAGAACAAATCTCAGTTCCCCTAACCTGAGCAAAGCCAAGCTGGTGGGCATCACTCCAGCCTGGAGAAAGGAGGCAAGATATGGAGCCTTCCCTTCTGCTCTATCCACCCAACAACTGAAGCCTGAGCCTGCCCATACCAAATAACGTTTGCCAATAGCAATGAAGGGTTACTGGATTTTACAAACGCAAAGAACCTCTGTGCTAAAGCAAAGATCTCAAGCCAGCAGCTACAAGATCATAACGTGGCTCAGCACACACACCTCCTGCGCCTCCAGAGCCTTCCTGGCGTACCTGTGTCCGGGTTCCACACCATATTCCCTCTGCCGTTCCCATTGTAGCCGATCACTGCTTTCAGCTTCAAGACCTCACTGCCAGCTGGAGGAGATAAAAAACTCTGGAAGAAAAATAGACACTGGCTTAAAATAAGCTCTAGAAGGATGGTCCAGTCAGGTACATTCAGCACCCATGTAAGAAAAAGCGTGCGTGCAAGCACACACACATCCTCACACACACAACACACAATTTCATGCCAATACTCACACAATTCAAGTTTAACACATCAATGGCTGAATACTAAAGTGCACACTTATACATACAAAAGAGAAACTGCACCAGCAAAACCAGGCACAGATGCTTTCAGATGGGGCACAAAACAGGCTGGCAGCAACTGCGCATCTGAGGAGCAGCTGCGAATCCTGCTGGGAAAGAGCTCAATGGGTTTTGCTGACTTGGGGATGTGGATGTTTCAATAGAAGACAGTAGGGAGAAAAAATGCTGCCAGGTGGAGGGACAGAGGAGAGGATTGAGAGTGCAAGTGAAATGTGGCTTTTCTCCCAGCACCGTGAACAGCAGAGCTTAGGAAAAGGTTAAGTTTCTGTTTTATTATTGCTCTGTTTGTTAACAGAGTGAGAGCTGTGCCTTGACTATCTTCACTACGCTCGATGGATTGCCTTCCCCAGCCTGCTCTGCCAACGCATCTGCTCACAAAGATGGGTGCGTGATGAATCACACCATTGCTCACTCGTCTTTCACTTACAATAGCACATGCCATTTCAATTTCTTTTGAATAAAAATGTATGTGGATTTGCTGAACAGAAAAAGAGTTGATCACAACTCACTTTTTATTAGTCTGGAAAGAGCTGCATGTAGAGGAGAAAGGGGAACTAATATTAGGAGTTTCTAATTGAACATGAGGCCCAGGGGTATATTTCACAATTTACTTTCAAACAGAGAACAAAATGGAAACAATTTGGAAAATTCATCTACTTCAGTCCTCAAATGTCTGTTCTTCACGTGCCCCAGGAACCAGCCCTGGCACAATTCTCACCTGGGGGAACACCGATGCCTTAAAGCGAGGAGTGAAATGCCGGTAGGAATCTGGGCGGACAGAGCATTTGGTCTTGGGACTTCTGGTCTCCTTTCTGGGTTCTGCCACACAAAGAAAACAGTACCTATGGGATGCTGCTCCTGGGAATGGTTTGGGAGCAGCAGCTAGGCTGGAGCTTGCTGTCTGTTCAGATGCTGTGTATGTGCATGCATACACATACAAGGCAAAAAATCAGCCAGCAGCATCCCCTGCGCTCCTATACATCTGGCCATAGGAAAGGCACCAGTTTTCCAGGTGCAAAGGAGGAACATCCATCTCCCCACATCATCCCACTCAGCCACACCACCCTGCAAACAGCCTAAGAGCAGGCACACCACATGCCCAGGGCATCACTGTGAAGGCATAAGCCACACAGCTAGAAAGAGGTCTTTAACAACAGCGGCAGAGGCATAATTTTATGTTGAAGCTTTCCAACAAGTCCAGCCTGGGGCTGAGTGCTGGCAGCTGCCTGCTTCTGGCAGCTTGCCACAAACTGCTGCAGCTTTGAGGCTGTGCATCTATTAATAGAGACATCGGGAGCTTGAATTTCAGCTGGGATTAATAGAACATGCCACTTGGAGATGATATTGGCTCCAAGCTGAAGAGGGGCTTCTGGTTTACCTAAAAGCAGCAGCATGGAAAGATCCAGAAAAACAAGCAGTCTTGGGGACTGACATGAGCTTCCCTCAATATCGATTTCCCTTGGTAAATCCCACCCAAGGGAATTCAGGAACACAGTGCTTTGTCCCACAGCTCAGCACACACGTCCGGGTCTATCTGTACCATATTAATAATGGCCTTTCTTTATTTTTACAGACCAAGCTGCCATGTAGGCCTGAACACATTATGCCTCGAAGGAGCCAAGCTCCGTACAAGATGGGAATATCCTCGATTTACCATTTGCTGATTCTCCAGGAGACCTCGAGCTCTCCTGCTTCACTTTGGGCCTCACAGCAATAAACTCCTCGTTCCTGACTGACTCCACCACAAGGACTGAGGCATTTTTGTCTCCATCCGCCACCGTGCTGCTGCTGCCTGGCAGATCTGCGTCGTCGTCTTTGTCCAACTCAGAGAAAATACCTGAAGAGAAAAATTAGTGGGAGGACAGAACCATCTAAGTCCTTCAGGGCTGCTTCGTGTGTGACTGATCCTTTGATTTCTGGCAGTGTCACTCTCCCGCTCTATGTAACAGCCCATCTGTTAGGGTGAAGGGCAAAGCAGACATCTCCTACCAGGTATGTCCATCAAGGTATTTACCATAGACCTCAGAGAAACTGTGCCAGCAGCTTAGTGTACGGAAGATAGCAGAGGATAAAGAGGTCCTGAACTCCAACATCTCTGGCTGGCTTTGTCCAAGTTAGGGAAGGCAAGTGCAGACTGGTCTGTCAGTCTGCAGGAAGGGGATCATGGGCAGGGACAGGTCCAAGGATGCTGCTGAACTAGGCAAGGAGTTTTTCCTAAAACAAGATTAGTTTTCCCCTTTCCTACAAGGAGTTTCTCTTACTTTGACATCCTGCTCGGTGGACAGAGCTGACATCCAAACACGGTGGCGAGGACAGCAATGGAAGAGGCACTGTCTGCCGAGGTGTCTCAGAGGCATCCTCTAGGTTCTCAGAGCTCCCTTCTGCGAAAAGGAAAGGTTTGTTTAACTTCCTTCATCCTTTAGGTCCTCTCATATTCTGGTTGATCAATGGTGATACCTCCAAGCTCATTTCTCCAGCCTCCTCCTGCCACCCAGTGCAACTCATGGGAGGAGGCGAACTCACCTGTTCCTGGAACCAGAGTAGACTTAGAGGAACAAGCCCTGGAAAAGCAACAAGACCGGTGTTACATCGAGCGGGGATGGGCAGGGAGGTACATGGAAGCAGTAGGGATTGCCCAGCAACATGCACTTACCCAGCTGGGGATGACCTCTCTGCAGGCACCGCTAGGAAATCCCAGAGGAAGATGGCATCTCCAACGCTGATGACATGCCGTTGGTCCGGGGTGAAGGCCACCTGGTGCACTGGCTCTGAGTGGCCGATGTACACCTGGGAGAGAGCACGTCTTGAACTTCTCCGCCACCACGCCTGTCCTATCAGCATGGCTTATCTCTACTCCCTGCCCTGCATAGCCAGTGTCTATACCTCTCAGCCCAAGATCCTCTCAGAGGCCAGCACCACACCTACAGTGCTCAGACCTAGGGTTGGTTAACCTAGGGTCAACCTTCAACACACACTGAGATCTGCAGAAGCTGAAAACCCCCAAAGGCCTTATCATAACTCTCAACACCTCTGGGTGGCTCTGTCCTTAGCACAGAGGTGACACCGACCTCTGTCCTTCGCAGAGGGTCTCACTATGGGGCTTTAGTAGCTCCAGCCTGCGCTCAGTGCTGGGCATTATTACAACAGGGAATAGGGCTGCATTTCTCGGTTGCTGGGCAAATTAGGACTGGGGACACTGGGCCAAGCCACACAGGACGTTAGCTGCTCTCTTCTCCAGGGATTCAGAAATGCAGCACTACTCCCTTTTCTCCCATTGTGGGCAGTACCTGGAAGTTGATATTGAAGCGCATTTGATAGTCCCACACTTTGATAACTTTGTCGCCAGCAGTGAGCAGGTACTTGCCATTCTTGCTCAGCGCCAAGGAAGAACAGGACAGCTTGTGCACGGGAGACACCTGAGGACAAGAAACGGCACCAGCAGCATTAGCTGAGCTAGTTCATGTCCTTACTTATGCTTCAGCAAGAGGACAGGAGCGTGACAGCATGGAAAACAAGGACAAGCTCAGGCTCACCCTGGGCATGACCACACCAGGATAGCTACAGCCTAGCCACTCATGTAGTCTTTTGAAGCCTGTGAAATCCAGGATGAGCTCTGCTCTCATTTAGCCTCCATCAGAGACATAAAGCGCCCAAGCCCCACGTGACACAAGACTTGAACTTCATAGTGTCCTACCTCTCGCACCAGCCGTCCCGTTTTTGCATGAAGTACAAGGATTTTATTGGAAGAAGTGGATACCAGGAGCTCGCCTTGAGGCACAGGAGCAAAGCAGACTCTCACTGCAGAGTCCAAGGCTGTGGCATTCAAATCAAGGACACTGATGTCCACCCTCAGCAGCTGTGAAACAAGGAGACGCTGAACAACTATCCTGGAGCAGGTACTGCAGAAGCCTCAGGATAGCTCTCATAGCTCTAACACAAGGCTACAGAGCCCCCCAAGACCCTTCCCTTCCCACCTAGTGAGGGGCTGCAGGGTCCAGGCAATGTCCCTACTGCCCAGGAAAGCAGCTCACAAAGAGAGGTCGAAGCTGACAGTCTACACAACACTTATCCAAAATATACTTCTAGAGGGGAATGAGGCCAGAGAAGAAACCATGACCTTCTTGTTTCTATTTCACAGAATAGAAAACAAATCTCACTGTAAGCACCTTGAGCAAGTGTCTGCTGTGCAGGGAAGGGCCCTCTCCAACGCTGCTGATGCCCAAGGCCTTTGATCTATCTCATCTGATGCAGCCTACATGATTCCTCTTCAGCCCAAAGCACCTTGATGCCCATACTCGTCTCCCCACCCTCCTCCAGGAACAAGGGGAACCTGCTGGGTACCTCATCCAGAGAGCAGACCTCCATCACGGTCACAACATACTCGGAGGGACCCACGAAGGCCAAGAGACGGCTGTCCTCACTGACCACCAAAGCATCCGGACCGCTCCCAGCATCCGGGGCCACCACATTGCCTGAGGGCCACAGCAAAAGAGAGAGTAAGAGAGAAGCAAAGCCCACACTGCAGCCAACTCACTGTGACGGTGCTGCTGACTGGGAGCTGCAGCTTCTCCTGCCTCTGACTCAGCCCTGGGTTAACATTCTGGCCTGAGAAAGAAGCAACCTCTGTTGTAGAAGATACTGCAAATTTTATCTGAAACACCCAAAGTGTGCAGTGAACCACCTCAAAGACAAGGTCAGGCTTGTTGCCTGACTGAACGTGCAGTGTTTTCAAGAAGAACAAAACTAAGTCAAGGGAATAAAATTGATTTTAGTGTTTATTTTTTAACATTACAAGAAGCTGTGACAAGGAGCTATGGATGCGAGATCTCAGCTACAGCCTTGGTGTCTGAATCCTGTGCAGAATTAAGTCAACATTGAACTCCACCATGCTGACATCAGTCCAGTGGGCAGATAGACCCAGAGGTTTAAAAAAGTCACAGAAATCAGAGCAATTCTCTGTATTTCTTCCACTGTTCTGTCCCTGGAACACGTCCAGGCTGTAAACATGGTTTCAGAGCAGAGTCAACATGTGAAGGTCCAGATGCAGCACAGTCGCAAAACTTGGGTGATATTCCCTGATCTCTCCAAGCCCCTATTCCATCTTCATCTACTTCAACTGCACACTTCTTGGGGCAGAATCCTCCTCTTTGTACAATATCACGTAACAAAGCTCCCTGTCCCTGCCCAAGCTTATGGTGCCACAGCTCATTTCAAAAGCACACATTATACGTGACATTAATGTTTCTAAACTGCCTTGCCCCTGCACTGCTTCTCCTGCCTGCAGCTCCACCTTCTCCACTCACGCACAGGCCCTTTGCGCAGCTGTGCTGCAGGCAGGATCAGGGAAATGATCCAGTTTAAACAAATTAAACTGCACATCCACAGAATGGAAAGAGTCAGGGCTTGGGAATGAATAAATAGGAAGGACTTTACACTTGTGTTGCTTCTAGGCAATGCACTGTTGAACCCAGACGTGACAGGGCAGGTCTCTGCAATTCCACCCCAGTCACGACATCAAAACACCAAGCAAGTTGAGAGCGTTTGAACCAGGACAGGTATGGAAGGGTTGGCAGTCACTAGGGTTTGCTCACAGATAAACACAAATGACACAGCTCAGAAGGTTCCTCAGAAAATATCTGAGTAGGCTGAGTCTGGTTTGGCTTTGGTGCTAGGATGTCTGTGCTAACAGAAAAAAGAAGAAAGGCAACCTGCAACCCCAAAGTCTTACCCAAGACTCGCAGGACATTGCTTTTCTCTTCCATGCAGCTGTAAAGAGCCAGAGTTCCCTGCAAACAGGAGCTGAACATGAAATTGCCATCTGGAGAGAAGGTCAGTCCAGTGATCACAGTGCGGTGCTGCCTGAAGACAGAAAACATGAAAAAGGGGATGAGAAAAAACAAACAGCTCCTCCAGAAAACAGTAGAAACATCAAGTGCAACACAGTGAAGAATCCAGGGAAGCAAAATAATCAGAGACAGGCAGAGGACCCCACCATGCCCACAGCTGCAGCAGCCCAGGACAATCAACACTCCAACTTTTTGGAAAACTGAGCAGCAAGCCCAGCACTCCAGCTGTCCCTGGACGGGACATGCTCCCTCTCCCTTTGGAGCATCCTCTGCTTTCCACGTCGAGGCTCACAAGGGCTCCCTGTTCAGTTGCTCTTTAGGACAAGCTCTTTCCTACTGTTGGCCAACTGTCTACCAGGATGTCCCCACACATACAGAAAGCCCTCACAGCCTTCACAGGTTGGACTTTTATCACCCAGATCCATGGCACAGCAGGCAACCTCTGCCTGAAAACCACTCAGGTGGTGCATGAAGATTGTTGAACTCAAGAAAAACACTTTTCCCACCTCCATGATTATCACTGTGGCTCTTGCCAGGACACCCAGTTAGACCCATACCTGCTAAAGTGCAGCTCCCACTGCAAGCACTTACTTGTGCTCTACCAGGAGATTGGAGGCAGTCAAGCTGAAGGTCCGCACCATCCCGCTGTCAAAGCCACAGGCCAGGATCTGCTGGGCAGGGTGAAAGGCCACCGCACACGGCATTTCCTCTGCAGCCGTGAAGTCGTACAGCTGGGGGAAGAGACACACCACAGGCATGAAGCTGGATAAAGCTCTACCTGGCAGTTGTACCTAACAACTAAACAGCCTCAGACCTCCACTGTGAGTGTGTCCCACAGCAGAAATCTGATCTTGCCTCAATGGGTTTAAAGCCCAGCGAAGTCCTGGGTCTTCGGGCATTTAGATAAAGCCCTTGGGTATTATGCTTTGTGTTAAAAAGCAATATTCAAAAGACAGAGGGAAAGAAAATATTTTTGTTTAACAATACCTTCAGAGGCTAAGGCCAAGTTGTTCATTAAGCTAAAACACTCTGAACTCCGTAGTCCAGAAGGATTTCTTGCCCACGCTTCAGGGAGCACATTTAAGGGCTCTTGAACTGTGGAGCTTTGATCATCAGATCAGAGACCAGAGAGACTATTAATAAATGCAAATCACCTACTGACTCTCATCTCATCTACCTGCTGCATGGAGACAAGGTCCCAGACTCGGATAGTACTGTCCCGGGACACCGTTGCCATCTGCTTCCAGATCCCCTCCACCGAGAATGCCAAAATGGAGTCCTCATGAGAACGCATGAGGGTGTTGTAGTCCCGGGACAGGATGTTCAGGTAGCCCAGATTGCCAGCAGCTGTCGTGCACAAGACTTTGCGGCTGTCTGGGCTGATGCAGACAGAACTCACTGGAGCCTCATGCTCTGGGGGAAGACATAGGAGTCAGCAAACCCCCCCTGGAAAGGGGCAGCAGCAGCTGGAGCTACCGAGCCAGATTCACATTCAGGAAAGTAATGCACACAGAAACAAGCATCTCACAAGACTGAATGCCTGCAGGTTTGAGTTGAGTGACAAATTAGTCTCTGCCCTTTATAGAAGTCCCCAGGTTCTGCTGTGATGGTGATTGTTTCAAAGAGTGAAGAACTGCTCAACTTTTCCCCTAATTTTACATGGACAGATGAGTTATGGGTAAAAGGGCACAGAAATCAAGACATAGTGCCTGCTCTCACCCAGGAGATCCTGCCTTTCTCCTACAAGTTACAAGAATAAGCATGAAAAAGAAGTAAATGACTTCCAAGCCAGCAACCCCTAGAGATAGCAGGCATAAAAGTTGCCCTTGTTTTTGCAAATTGCTTTGGGAGATGTGGCAGTGGAACTAGGGCTTTACAGCAGCCGGCTGATGGAGATGGGCAGCTCAGAAGCACCTGTCTCAGCTTTACTCACCCGCCTCTAAGACAACAGCTGAGAAGTCCAGTGGCCACAGCCGCAGGTAGCCATCTTCTGAACCCGTGGCACAGAAGGTTGAAGAGATGCTAATACTGTTTATAGCGATCCCAGGGCCTGTAAACCCAAAGCCACAACACTACCTTGTACACTTGAAACACAAAAACTCAAACTGAGGGTTCCCCCATCCGCGAGCCGAGTCCAATGACCCACCCGCACCAGAGGCTGAAGCAGCAGAAGCAGCAGTCAAAACTCTGTGGTGATGGACAGTATGGGCTGAAGGGAGCCCTCCTCACAACGCAAAACATGTTCCCTTCCCATTCCTTTCCAGCACTCCTCTTCACTATCGTACAACTCTGCTTACTCTCGCCAGGCACAGAAAACTCTTCCCACCTGTTAAACCCTGCCACACTTTTGGCTTGAACAGGATCTTGTGGCGAGGGATGTCCTAGATTAACTGCCTGAAATATAAACCCCTTTCATTCCCATGTCCCAAATCCTCTCTGTAGTGGGGTGAGAAGCGAGAGAGAACACAGAACTACAGAAACTGGGATTTCTTGATTCAGGTATAAAGTCCAGTGGTGAAAGCACTGGCAAGAACCAGCGCTGCTACCAGGAGGACATCCAAGGACAGTGTTTCATCTCTTTGGGGCATTTTCTCGCCCATGAAGTGAGAAACAGAGTTACATACCTCTCAGAGGGCACGCTCTAAACTAATTAGCTAAATTTGCCAAAGCAAAGTATGCACTAAGTTTCATGATATCAGAGCAATCATGCTTGAAAGTGAATTCTTCCTGCTGTTAAAATTAGTGGAAGAGCTGAAAGCTGTACTACTTAGTATACTGCAACAAAGATTTCCAAAACACTCTGGACAGGCTGAGTAATGAAAAATTCCCCAAATTAATCTTTCTCGTTGGTCTACTTAGCTCTTTTTCCATCTCTACGTTAAGATTCCCATCAGCAAATTAAGACCTTGTTTCATGTTTCTAAAAGTAGTGTTTCACTGAAAGTGCAATCAGCATTTTAAATGCTAAAATTCTCTCTTAAAATGATACTTTGCTGTACTAAGGGAGATTATTTGCAGTACTTACAAGGCAAATAGCTACCAATGATTTAATCGACCCAAAATAATCCTTAGCAGTCGGTAAATAGCCGGTTTATTTTACCAGAGACTTGCTTGAGTCCATTTCTGCCCCTAGTGATGGTCAAGGTGGCTCCCACTCCCTGCCTGCAGATGCTCCTACCTGCACTGCTGTCTGCGTTCTCCTGCTGCTGGCAGCCCGAGGGCTGTGCAGGCAGGAGCCGCCGCACACTCCTCATGCAGATGTTCTTGTAGTCCACCTCCAGGACATAACCATTCTTGCTGCAGACAAAGCTGTAAAGGAGAGACACCTCTGCTCCAGCACCGTAGGGTTAAGAGGAGCTGTGCCTGCATGGTTTAGCACAAATCCAGCTTGGTTTTAACCATTAAACTGTTTGCCCAATGGGAAGCAACTCTGGTTTACAGTAACCTTACAGGTCAATGCTGTGTCCAAGGGCACCTTTCCATGTATTATCCTATAAATCTACAACTAAGTCAGAGCTTCCTATTTTCTCTTGTCTCTTTGAAACATTAATTTAAAAAAAGCTAAAAGCTCAGCATAGACTTCAGACAGAAACCTCTCTCTGCCACAGGACAAAGCCCAGGGGAAGGCAGGGCCAGCTGAGCTGACAGCTCAGCCTTTAAGGAACAGTATGTGGTAGCAACAAAGGTCTGGCTCTGATGATTAAAATAAAACACACAAAAAAGTGTGAATCTGTCTATATGCACACTCCTCCTACTGCCAACACAAAGCTAACCACAAGCCTCAGGTGGAGGAGAGATTCACTAAATACAACAAAACATCAGTGCAGGAAGAGGAAAGATCCATTTCTTGGGCCATTCTGCAAGCAGCCAAACCTCTTTTGGGAAGCAAAGTGTGTTGAGGAGGAGAGAGGCTCTCCCAGCTCCAGGATGCACCTGGATGGGTTGTAGGGAAAACCCAACCAAAATGCCATGCTTCTGCATAGGAGGAGGATGGAAGTTGGTAAAGGCAGCTGAGAGCTTCCTCCCAGCAGAGCTCTGCCCCATGGATGGACACCAGTGCCACCCATCAGCCCCTTACAGTGTGCGGTCCTCCAGGTCCCGCTCAGCCGTGTGTCCCTCCTCGAAGGCCAGGTCAGTGAACTCCAGGGAATGGTACTTGCCCAGATTGACGGGACACGAGCGCAGCGCTCCACTCCGCACTCGCCACAGCCTGACGTTATCCCGGCCACACGACACCATCCTGGCCAGGGAGAGACTGCGTGAGGATTGGGGCAGGACTCTCCGAGCCCCTGGGGAAAGGTCAGTGCCCCAGGGGCCACCAGCTGGCCATGAGGACTGAGAACAAGAATGGCAACCAGACAGCTGCAGCACCACTCTTCCCCCCGCAGCAGTGCCAATGCTTTTGATTTATTTTCTTTGCACGCTACCTGGTATCATCAAAAAAAGCAATCTTCAAGACCTGGATGTCCACATCTGTGTGGGCTTTGGCCAGCACAGCCACCTCTCCACCATGGGTCACCTGAGCAGCATTCCACACCACCACCATCTGAAACAAGACACAATGGCTGCTCAAACGTGAAAACCTTGGCAGCAAAAGAGCTTTTCATCACAGCAGCTGCCCAGCCGCACATATGGGAGCCTGCTCCAGAGCTGGGCACAAAGTATCAATAACAGAATTGAAGCAGGGAGTAAAAACAGAGTTTGGGACAGTCCAACAGCTTTGCAAAGCTGCATGGCAATACACTTGTCTAGCATCTATAATAATAGGTTCTAAATCACAGGGCTGCCTGGCAACAGGGCTCAGGCTTGGAAAGAAAATCCAGAGAGGAGTGGGAACTCTGTCTGCTGAGATATAAGAGCTGTACCAGGGCTGTGAGAGCTGGAGGTGGCACACGCTGCCCACACTGCCTCTCACAGCACTTTCCTCCATTGTAGGTTTGTGTGGTCGCAGTGCCCATCACGAGGGACAAGAGAGCCAAACCCTTTCCCCAAAGGAAAGGGGGAGATGGGTGAAGAAATGCAGGTGATTTGATGTTCTGCGTTTCAGAACAGTGTTAAAACCAGACCCAGCATCGCCTCAAAGGCTGGGGCAGGCTGAGGCATCACCCTGGGAGAGGTGCCCCTGGCCAGCCTCCCTGCACCCCTCCTTCTCCCACCCTGCTTTCACCCTATTCATCCCCTCTCCCCAGTTTCAGCTCGTCAGCGCCCACCCGGATCACAGACTGCTGCTACATGCCAGGAAAAAAACAGCGCTGTTTGTTTTTTCCTGGAGGCAGTATGCAGTTAGCGATGGCACAGCTAATTGCTGGTGGTTGTCAATAAGGGATCAGTGGATGAAAACAGTTCCTCCACTAAAGCAAAAGCCCCAGTCCCATGAAATAATTTTATTTTTGACTGCTGCACATGGGATCTGCGTCATCCCCTAGCTACATTGGTGGGTGGCAGCTTCAGTGCCCAGCATTCCTTCCAGCAGCAATCCCTGCAATGCTCAGAACTGAAAAGATTAAACCTCGCATCTCACCCTAAATGCTATTAAAAGAGGGTTTTTTTGGGCTCTAGTCAGTGCTGAACCTCTCATTTCAACTCCCATTCCTCCACTACGTGCTTGCAAGCCTTCCAGCTCAAAATGCCACACAGACACGTGTCACCTTCAGCCTGGTGGGCCAGAACCGTGCAGAGGCAGGCAGCAATGCTGTGTGAGCCTGTGGCGATCCCTGCAGGGTGCAGGCAGAATCACACAGCCACCTTCATCCTCTGCCTGGGGCCACACCAGGGACAGAAATAGCCCCACAGCTCAACCCCAGCAGGTCTCTTGGACTGCTTCTGAAAGGATTTGTTTGCTTGCAGCTGAGGATCGTGCATGCAAACACTCACAAGCATTGGGTAGAAAGTCTTTTCTGAGCAGCTCACAAGAAAGGAATTTGACTTTGACTCTGACTACAGTGCAGAACATATCTAAAACCCAGAGCAGAGGTTTGTCTGTGAAATAACTACATAATCTGGGAGAACTGCTGCCTTGTGTCACTCGTACGCAGGGCAGGGAAACCCCCAAACCCAAGTTTCAGTCCTCACCGTTTTGCCGTGCCTGTCTTTTCCAACGCCACACAGAACAGCCCCGCTGTAGGAAAAGCTGCAAGAAGAGGCCACCTGGTAAAACGCAGCTCCTTGTACCCCGAGTGCATCTCAGCAGAGAATAAAAGGAGACAAGTTGTAGGTATGGGGAGACAGCAAGACCTGAGGAATAAGCTCAGGAGGGAGCTGGCAGCATATCAGCTGCTCCAGGCCAGCTGCCAGCAGGTCTTGGTGACAAACACGGGTAGCTGAAGGAGAGCTATAATTCACCCCTGCTTTATCACATATAAATAGCACAGAAAAACTGTCATGCTGTAACACTGAGCCCACCTGCACACATCCCTGTGTCCAGGCTGAAACCCACCTGAGGGACAAGAGGGAGCAGACATGGGTTTTAAACACAGAGAGGCAGCTGCCCGTCAGGAAGTCCCAGAGCCGCACCACGCTGAGGGGACCAGCCTGCGCGGAAGCCAGCAAGGTGCTGTTCCCATTGAAGGCCAGCGCAGACACCTGCGGGAAGCGCTAGGTTAGAGGCTCTCAAGGAGAGCTGGGACCGGAAGGGTACACCCCGGGTACAAGGACAGCACTGCCGTAGGGCTTTGTGAGGAGCATTACACGCACCTTATCCGTGTGTCCAATGAAGAACCTCTGCTTTCCGGTCTGGATCTGCAGTGTCACTATAACAGCGTGGCAGGGGTAGACCACCGCAGTGCTGTTCCGAGTCCACAGTGCCTGCAGGACCGAGGCAGGAATGAGAGGGCACCAGAGCCTTCAGTGATGCCCCAGGTCCTAGGCTGGACGTGCAGAGATTTCTTAAACAGGAGATATGCTGCACGTGTGCAGGTGAGAGGAGGTTCTTTCATACAAGTACTCTTCTAACTCACAAAGGAAAACTAAAAGCCCAGCCAACATTCTACTTAACTCAGTGGATTTACAGTGCCAATTACATTTACTACAAGAATGGCACATACAAGAAAAATCACGTTGTTGGCAAGGCCTTGAACCGGCTGAACCAAAACGACCCTTTCTTTACTCTAACACTGACCACAGGCTGGGCTCTGGAAGGCACAGTGCCTCATCGAAACAACCCAAACCACAGCCCTTCCTTTCCATACTCCTACAAAGTGGCTCTAATTTTAACATGTTAAATGCAGAAGCCATGAGATCTAAAAGGCCCCCATAATTTCTAATTCACCATTGTAACAGTGGAAGACCTGTGCACAAACATAAGCTCATTCCTATCTGCTTTGGGGCCATTTTCCCCATCAAGAAGTATAGCACGCAGATGCCTTTCATATCTCCAAAAAAAAAAAAAAATCAATACCCTGACACCATGATTACAGATCATACTGACCCATTTGGTGCTGTAGCCTCCAAAGCCAATAATCATTCTCAGCTTCAGGATGGGATCTGGTAAGAGCCTCTGAAAAAACAAAACCAACACACAGCACTTAGTGCCAGATTGAGGTTCTCTGCCCACAGGGTCCCTCCATCCCCATTGCTCCTTTCTCTGTAAAGCACAGAGGCAGCTTTGGGTTCTCTCCCATTAAGGAGATGGTTTTCAAGTATTTCATCTAGGAGAAGTCAAATCAGGGAGGAAGGAGGGGTTGGCATTTCCCAGAGTTAAGCAGCTCTCCCACCCAGGTCCTTCCCAGAGCCCTGGCGATGCCCAGAGAGCCGGCAGCTGCTGCGGGAAGGGCTGTGCTCTGACCCTGCAGGCAGAGGCTCTCTGGTTGGCCAGCACACTGGGTACAGGGCCCTTCCTGCACATGCTCTGGGAAAATCAGTAAACATATATTGTAATTAGTATACTAGTAAATAGACACTGGCTTAAGGTCAGTGCATTGGAACAGAGGGTCCTCTTTCTCCAGGTAAGTGTAATACTAGTGGAAAGAAGAACTGCTAATCAGAAAAACTAATGCCAGCAAAAGGACTCCATAAGATTGACTGAAGCTCCAGCCTGAAGCTTGCATTCCCTTTGCTGCTTCTGCTGGGCTCACAAGCATCAGCCATAAACATCCCAAAGCCACCCTTAGGCTGCTGTGACTCCTCAGCGCGTCACCCACCTCCTCTGAACTGCTGTGGATGGCAGGTATGATGGTTCGCCCCCTCCTCTGGTAAGCGTACACGTGGATGCCACCATCACTGGCTGCTGGTGACCCCTCCATGTCACCTGCACTGCATGGTCTCTGGTTTTTCTCTAGCTCCTGGTCTGCAGCAGGCACAGCTTTTGGAGGCCCTGGGGCTGTCAGGTGAACCTTGGGGATGCTTTTTGTAGTTACAGGACACCGACGTGGCATCTGAGAAAGAATAAAGCTTCAGACAGAGATCAGCTCTCCTCCCAGTGCCTTCCACCTGCCGCAAAGGCAGAGACAGGGAGACACCCACACCTCTCCCGAGTGACTCCTCACAGCAACACAAGCAAGGACAAAGCAACACAGAGAGAGAGCATCCCCGTTGGTACATAGCGTGGTCATGTTCCAGTCAGGCTCCCTATGCTCCTAGTGTTGTCTGTGCAGAGTTCACTGCATTCAGACAGCAAACCAGAGCCCCTGGAGAGATCTAGCCCTTCTAGAGAAGTGCTGCCCTCTTTCCCCTAAGCAGAGGAACCTAAATGCACCTGGCCAGCCAGCTCAGTGCATCCCAATTAAGAACAGCAAAGCGCTTGCACTTCTCATTTTCTCTCTCTCCAGTGTGAGATGGCTTCTCCCAGTCTCCCTTCAAAAGCTCATCACCACGTTGTCTGGTAAGCCAGTCGGAGGACCAGCTCCTGTGTCATTGCCGGCAGAGAAGGCAAAACTGGCAGTGAGGGCAGCTGCCCGCAGTCCCAGCAATACAGGCTTGCACACATTGCTCTGCTCCCTGAGGGCACCCGACCAAGCTCTTTAGTCTCCAGTCCTCATTTCCTATCTATAATTTGAAGACACAACTATTTGCTGCCTCAGCTGAGACAAGGAGGATAGATGTCTGGAGATTACAAGGTACTTGGCATTTATCTTGTCTCTGCTCTGTGCTACACCAGACTGAACCACTCAGCCATTAACTGTAGGGCAGCAGACAACAGACAATGCCCAGATCAAGGATCTGACCTGCCCAGATCAGCTGCAAATGACAAGAAGCAGCTTTTACATCCTAAATAAAGGAACTTGGAGACATGGGGAAAAACTCCATGGGAGGCAGAAAGGAAGAAGTCGCAGCCTCCTCCACGGTGCACTTACAGCTTTGGGACTGGTTATCTGGTGGATGAGGGACAGTCGGTCACGGACTGCTTTGGTGAGCATCACCGGCTGGGGCAGCCGCTGGACAGGGTCCTCCGAGACTTGGTCACCTGGGTGACACGAGAAGTAGGTTGGGCTCTTTCAGAAATGCAAGGCATTGAGCTTGGGTGGCACAGCCTGGGCTGCTCTCCCCAGCCTTCCCACCTGCCACAGGACCGGGACGGCTCTTCTGGATGGAGTCATGCGGCAGCTTGGACCCCTCAGATGGGAACCTGAGCAGAGTCAGAGGAAGGCGCCGGGTAATTGGGATATTGCACTGGCACCCAGGAATCCCACTTGATAACTCACTGCCTGGCACAAAAGCCTCTTCACTGTCTCCTATAAGATTCCCCCCTTTTGCCCCATCGTCCCCCAGATATACAGATACCAAAGCATCTCCCGGGTCTGATCTACCCCCTTACTCTCCAGGGTCAACTTGGCACTGTGCACTTTAGACAACGCTACTAAGTCGATGACTACAATGAGCTGCAATTTATGACCAACAGAGTTCTGTGGCAAAAACCTCATCACTAATGGGAGCCCAGCACCGAAGCCAAGGAAGGTGGGCTTACGTCTGCCCCCTAACAAGGCATTATGGCCGATGACAGCTCAGCCACTCCTGTCAGACTGCCCTGTAACTTAGCAAGAGGCTGAAGCACTCCCTAGGAAGAGCACGCACAGAAGTGGGGCTTGCATTATGCTAAGTTGGCCATGGGAGCAAGCCCAGCAAGAGACCACTGAGAGAGAGGACTGGTGTTAATGCCAGGCACACAGTGCTCTATGGCCTTTTTCCTGCCCCAACACATCACCCATCAGCAATTAAGCTTAGACCAGGGTAGATGTGTTAACACCTAAGTGCTGGAGTTGGGGTGACCAGAATGTCCCCACTCAAGCCCCAGGTTTGTCTGGATCTGTCACTTCTTAAGCAGTGACATATCAGAACATGAATGTGGAGGTCTCAGAGCCGCGGTGGGTTTGAGAGCAGCTGTACCTGATGTAGTCGTAGAGGTCGTGCCACTTCTCTCCCTTCGGCACAGGGAAAGCCATTTCCCGTGGCATGGGAGCCACTCCGTGACAGGCCAGGTCAGCTTGCCGGCCCTCGGAGAAGGTCACACCTGGCAGCACAGAGATGGAGATAAAGAGAGTGAGTTCTGCAAGGCCCGTGGAGATGGCTGAGATCGCATGTTTTCCATGGAACACAGGCACAAAGCATCTCCCTCTTTGAGGTCACCTGAAAAACAAAGATTACAACTCCGAGGTCTATAACAAACTAACATACCTTCGCACTGGAATATTCCTGAAACTCTCAACCTTCAAAAAATACGCTAAAGTATAAACCCTTGGCATCAACTTATAAATCCCGGAGTCCCAAGCTTTTGGTTTCTATTCAGTGATTCAGCAGCTTCATGTAATTTGTGTTCAGGTTCTGCTCTCATTTTCTTTTCATGCGTTTTTAGCTTAATGAAAGTCTTCAAGATAGAAGAAGTTTCAGGAATCTGAAAGCAGCATCAATAACTGTCTCGATGCTGATGCTTTCCAGCAGGCCAGTCTCTTCAAGCAGATTTCCAGCACAAAAAAAGAAAGGCAGAAACAAAGGTTTTCACCAAAATATCTCTGCCACACTGAGCAGATGGATTAAAAAAAAAAAAAAAGTAAGTTGGAAGATTTCTGAAACAAAAAAACCACAGACTCTTCCAGAAAATAAACGCACAGGCCCTGGAGAACTGAGGCTTAGTAGCACCTTTAAGTTTTCCCCTCCTTGAAGAAAGTTTCCAGTCTTGGTAAGATATTTACCTTTGCTCATATCTTTCCCTTTTACAGCAGGAAAACAAGAAACTTTCTCCCAGAAGGGTGAGGAGACTGTATTCACCGGCATGCGTTCAACTTAACATTGCCCAGTGCTACAGTAACAGCAGCCTCATGCTCTGCATCTCACCCACAAGTGGCTTTAAATCCCCTGGGGTTCCCTCCAGGCTGGGTCTAAGTCACAGGAGAAACCGAGGGCCACCCTGAGGTCTCAGCTCCTCACCTGGGTCGAAGAGCAAGTCGCTGGTGCAGAGGTTTTTCACCAGTTTTTTCTCTTCAGGTGGCTGTAGTGGCGGCTGAGGTAGAGGGAGAGGACAGAGCGGAGGTCCAGCACCAGGCAGGTCCAGCGCACGTCAGCGGGGGCTGCTCCCACAACACCTGGGGAAGAGAACGGCTGGTGGCAAGGGGGAAGATGGGCAAGGATACTGCAGACCTTGCACCTCACAGGATGGGAGACACAAGATTAACACGGTTAAGACGATGTGGCTGAGGATCTTCTGCTTAGGACCAACACTCTGCACCCTCCTTGAAAGCATCAAGTCAACTTCTGAACCCAATTTCTTTTCTAACAATTTATTGTGGTGGGTGATGTGCCAGCCCAATCCCCACTATGCTGCACGCTCCTCACCGCGCCTGGCTGTGTGGTCACATGCCGAGCCCTCAGCTGCTCCACAGATGAAGGGGAACTGCAGCCAGGTGGCTGTGGATCTGAACTCCTTGAAGAGGGTAGAGAAAGAGATGCGAACCACCTGGTTTTCCTGAGAAGAAACAATTTATTGTGGTGGGTGATGTGCCAGCCCAATCCCCACTATGCTGCACGCTCCTCACCGCGCCTGGCTGTGTGGTCACATGCCGAGCCCTCAGCTGCTCCACAGATGAAGGGGAACTGCAGCCAGGTGGCTGTGGATCTGAACTCCTTGAAGAGGGTAGAGAAAGAGATGCGAACCACCTGGTTTTCCTGAGAAGACAGAGGCCCA